TGGCAGGGGGGGCAGGTGCAGCACCAGACGCGTAATCATAGAGCGACACATGCTCCTTGCTATCGCTCAGAAGGAACAGCTGCAGGTCATCCAGCCAAGTGGCGAACTTCACAGGGCGGCCCTCAGCATCGAACGACAGCACGCGGATGGAAGCCATAGCGACAGTGCGACTGAGCAAAGGAAGCTGCCACAGCGCTGCAGGTAGGTAGCTCGGCGGGAAGCGCGGCGGGCGGGCGACGCGGCGAGCGGGCAGTGCGGGGGGCGGGCTACGAAGCGGGCAGCGCGGTGGGCAGGCGGCGCTGCAGGCGGGAAGTGCGGCGGGCGGGCTGCGAAGCGGGCAGCGGGGCGGGCGGGCGACGCGGCGAGCGGGCAGCGCGGCGGGCGGGCTGCGAAGCGGGCAGCGGGCGGGCGGGCGACGCTGCAAGCGGGCAGCGGGCGGGCGGGCGACGCTGCAAGCGGGCAGCAAGGCGGGCGGGCGACGCTGCAAGCGGGCAGCGGGCGGGCGGGCGACGCTGCGAGCGGGCAGCGCGGCGGGCGGGCGACGCTGCGAAGCGGGCAGCGAGCGGGCGGGCGGGCTGCGAAGCGGGCAGCGGGCGGGCGGGCGACGCTGCAAGCGGGCAGCGAGGCGGGCGGGCGACGCTGCGAGCGGGCAGCGCGGCGGGCGGGCGACGCTGCGAAGCGGGCAGCGGGCGGGCGGGCGACGCTGCAAGCGGGCAGCGGGCGGGCGGGCGACGCTGCGAGCAGGCAGCGCGGCGGGCGGGCTGCGAAACGGGCAGCGCGGTAGGCGGGCGACGCTGCGAGCGGGCGGCTCGGCGGGCGGGCGACGCTGCGAGGGGCGCGCGAGGGCGCTAACGAGAGGCGCACGAGGGCGCTAGCGAGGGCGCAGCGAGGGCGCGCGAGGGCGCTAACGAGAGGCGCGCGAGGGCGCTAACGAGGGCGCGCGAGGGCGCTAACGAGGACGCACGAGGGCGCTAACGAGGCTAGGGCACGGGGTAGCGTGGTAACCGCATGCGAGCGGTGGTGGGCCCTTAAAAAAAAAAACGGTCGGTAGGTCCTAGGGACCTCCTGCTCTGAATACCATGTTAAAAGAACTAGGCAAGAATGATGCATTGAATGAAACAGTTGGGTACAAGTAGCAAACCCTAGTTGGGGTTGTACCCCATATTGGCTACCCCACTACAGCCTACCAACATATAACACATTACAATTTAACACCCGCGTCGGCATTAAAATTGACCTGGCGAAAATCAAGACTATACAGGAGTGGAAGTCCCCGACGAATGTCACGGAACTTATGAGTTTCCTGGGGTTCGTGAATTACGTCAGGCGGTTTATCCCGAATATGGCGGGGATAACCGGCCCGCTGACCGACCTGCTGCACAAGGACAAGAATTTTGTGTGGGGGGAGGAGGCAGAGGTGACTTTTCAGGAGTTGAAGAATTTTCTCGTTTCCCCTTCGGTTTTGCGAATCGCCGACCCATCGAAGCCGTTCGAAGTCGTCACCGACGCCTCAGATTTCGCCATCGGAGCTGTGCTACTCCAAGATTTCGGGAACGGGCTGCAGCCGATCGCCTACGAATCACGCAAGCTGCAGGCAGCCGAGCGCAACTACCCGATTCACGACAAGGAAATGCTCGCCATCATACACGCGTTCAAACTGTGGCACTGTTACCTGGTCGGTGCCGACGTCATTGTTCGCACGGATCACAAATCCTTACAGTACCTGCGAGCCCAGCCCAACCTCAACCCGCGACAAATTCGGTGGCTGGATTACATGGAAAGCCACTTCACCTACCGCATGACATACAAGAAAGGGGCGAATAACATCGCCAACGCCCTTACCCGACCGACAGTACAATCCGCTGTAGTACTCATCAACCATTCCAACCCATTACTTACCGGACTATTCACCCACGGCTACACTACGGACCCATTCTTCACAAACAGAAAATACCAGCAGGCTACGACGCAGAAAGGGGACGATTATCTAAAGGCCGGAACTGACCAGATTTGGGTTCCCGCTTACCGACTGCTGCGTAAACTCCTCATCCAAAAGGTCCACGACTCCAATTTCTCCGGACATTTCGGGGTTGACAAAAACCAGAAATTGTTGCACCGTCAAAACTATTGGCCTGACTCATCCAACGACGTGCAGCGATATGTGTCCTCATGCAGGGTGTGCCAAGCCATGAAATCGACTCACCAACGGCCAGCTGGACTGCTGCAACCCCTCGAGCCACCCGAACGACCGTGGCAACAAGTGACAATGGATCTTGTCACAGGGCCGCCAGCTGGACCGTCCGGCAACAACGCCGTTCTCGTCGTCGTCGATCGTCTCACGAAGATGGCACATTTCGCACCGTGTCGTACAACAAACACCGCCTAAGATGATGCACGCCTCTTCATCTCAACGGTCGTGCGACTGCTCGGAATTCCCTCGGCGTTCATCAGCGACCGAGATCCGAAGTTCACGTCAAAGTTTTGGAAGGAAACGTGGGCGCAGTACGACACGAAGCTACAGTTCTCCTCGGATTACCACCCGCAAACGGACGGACAGACAGAGCGCACCAATCAAACTATGGAGCAGTTGATCAGGACAAGCTGCCCCGACCCGACTCGCTGGGAAGAGTCCCTTGTCATGCTGGAGTTCGCATTCAACAACGCCCCATCCAGCACGACTAATCACTCACCATTCTTCCTAAATTACGGGATGGGCCCGACAATACCTACGACGACTACACTCGACAACCCGGTCCCGCGGTCACAAACATTTGTGACGGAGCTGCAAGATATTCACGAAAAGGCAGCAGACGCAATCTGCAAGGCAAATACAACTTCCCGCAAATACACTGATCTTCTACGCCGGGAACTCCAATTGTCAGCAGGCAATTAGTCCTACTTGACACGAAGAACCTCAACCTGCCCGGACCGTCTAAGCTACGGCCACGATTCTGTGGGCCTTTCAAGATTCTCAAGATGGTGACACCTATCACCGCGAAGCTGCTGCTACGCGACGAGTGGCGTATCCATGACGCCTTCCACATCAGCTTACTTCGCAAGTACGTGCCGGCCACGACAGACATCGCACGACAGAATGTTGAAACAACGGCACGACCTGTCCCGGAGCCGACCCTTGACCCGTCAAAGATCTTGGCCCATCGTGTTCGACAGCCGACGCCACGTGGATTTCCTCATCCGTTGGACTGATCGCACCAGTGAGGACGACACGTGGGTGCCATCCGCCTCGCTTGACGCGTCCTCGCTTATTGCCGACTACCTCGCGCGCAAGCGTGTTTCGGATATTGACCGCCTTTCTTAAGGGGGGGGGAGTGTAAGGAATTTTTCCGAATTCCTTATCGGGGTTGACTGCTTCGCGTACAGCCCCGATTTTCGGAATCAGCACGTTCGGCCGACATCAACGATGCCGAGGCTCCTCGCGTCGCCTTCGGCATTTTCCCTTTCGCCAAACCTGCACCCAACCTCGCTCACCCTAGGTTCCCTCCTAGCTAGGCCAGCCACTACGTGCTTTCAATGTATTCTCAATTCTTGGAATCAGTGTCTCGTTATTTGTTAATCTGCGCACTCTCTTTACAGCTCATAACAGACGAGAAGCAAAGTTGCAGTGTTGGCGGACCTGCGCGGGTA